CTGCAGCCGATCAATGACTCTCTCATCATTGATGTTTCTATCTCTCTCTCTCCCTCTCCTTTCCTCTCTCTGAAATCAATAAAGATATATTAAAAACAAAACAAAAAAAACCTTTTAAATTAAAAACATTTTAAAAAGCAGCCAAGAAATACACCAGAGCGATGAGCTGAACCCTCCACTCTATGCCCCTCAAATGTCTTTTCTGCACTTGGAGGCTGCCCAAGCCCTGAACCACGAAGACCGTCACTTCTGCGTGGCCTGGAAGTGACCATGGTGTCCTGGGGCTCCGGCTCCGTGACCAGGTGAGAGGAGGCCATGACCGAGGGCGGCTCTCGGGGGCCCGGGATCCGCAGCTGCCGGGGAGCTGGTCCTCGGCGTGTCCGTCTCAGGGGTGCCCACGCAGACGAGGTCCCCGAGGTGCGTGAACTCACTCAGCTTCCCCGGCGCCGCCGGAGTTACCTGAGAAGTCGTATCTGATGAGACCCATCCAGCGCTTCTTCTCGCTGTCTTTGATGATGTCCCCGTAGAAGCCGTAGCCCAGCAGGGACACCGAGTACCGCAGCAGGGCCCCGTTGTGATGTACCGAGGACACGTCCATGGGCAGCGAGTCCCCTGCGGAGAGAAGCCACGGGGTAGGAGCCGCTCCACTCCTGCCGGCCGCGCCCCGCGTCCCCTGCGTGTGCCCCGCGAGTCCTTAAGAGGCTTAACTAAAATGCACACGGCACAGAAGGCGCCCGGCTCCTGAGTCAGATGACAACTGGGAAAGCCGCCGGGTGGGGCCAGGCAAGAACATGCCCACGTGGCTCGCTCAGTGTCACCGGTGGCGGGAGGTGGGTTGGCGATGAAGGAGGGGCACGTTTTAGAACACACACGGTCATAAAGGCATGTCGGCAGGCACAGCCTTTCCCTGACTTTGGGGAACACTTGTCCTCGGGGACAGGGAGGCGGAGGGAGCCACGTGCCGGACACACCCGAGCAGGTCGCAGCCACTCTCCCCTCTCTGGTCCCCGGACCAGCGGCACAGGGGTTTCCTGGCCTTGGGGACGCTCCTTCCGGAGGAGCCGTGGGACAGAGAGAACAGGATACGGAGAGCGGCAGGCGGCCGGGGACGCGCCTGGGAAGGCCTCCCGACCAACCGGGTGACGAGGGCTGGGACCTGGGCAGAGAGAAAGCCGAGTGCAGGGACCCAGCCGCGCGTGGGACAGGTGGGGACAGAGGGGCAGCCTGGCGAGTGCAGGGGGACCCCGGGGAGAGCCGGTGGGTCACGGGGTGCCTGGCGCCCCACACGACTCTGGAAGGGTTCCGAGCAGCGAGCAGGGCTCATGCTTTTGAAGGGCCCCTCTTCAAAG